CCCCAAAACCCCAAAACCCCAAAACCCCAAAACCCCAAAACCCCTATTATTAGATAATTTATTGATAAAATGTTCATCTCTACAGCAAAAAGCATTGATGGTCTGAACTCCGACATAGATTTTTGAATTAAGCGAAAGATATCAACCCCTTCAAGTGTAGTCTCAATTAAAGACAAATAATTTTGATGGCAGAGTCAGAACTACATTTGGAATTAGAGGTATTTCAGTTATTTTCTCCAAAACTTGGCTCTAAAGTTTTTCTTTAGATAAAGATATGTTTAAAATCCAAGAGCCAGCACAAATTGCTAATTTTAGAGCCCTTGCACAAAGCAAAAGACCTTCAAATTTTGAAAACCTAGGATTATCATCTCAATCAAGAATGTCAGGTATTTTTCTGATAACTTTCAGGTATCCACACTGGAGCTAAATCTACATCTACCATGCCTATTCACTTCCAAAAGATTGAGAGGTAATTCTAATGGTCATAAAGCATTAAATCAGTCCGTTTTACACTAGCAAAAGCTCTCAAAAATTGCTTGTTATAATAAAATTTACCGAACAGATGTGATCATTACTTTAGAAAATAAAGAGATTTTAAAAATGAAAATACCTCAGTTTCATCCATTTGAAAAATCAGAAGAAACGTCTAGAACCTCGAAGCTGATGGTTAAGTCCTTCTACAACAGGAAGTTCAATGTGTAAGTAGAGCTCAATGGATTAATTCCTTTCGAATAAAGACTGTCCTTGTTAATAGAGTTTTTAACATTTTTTTAGCAAACCTTATCAAAAGAAATTGAAGAGATTCACAGGAGCTGATAATTTTCACCCAAAGTATATGTCCCCACTGAAATTTTAGAAGGGAATCCCCATATACACTTTCAAATAGACCTTTGAAATAAGAAGGATTTAATCAAAAGCACCATAAAGAAGAATGTGAATAACCATTTGTCCAAAAGAAGGATCCAAAAGGTCATTTTCAAGCCTCCCCCAGAAGAGCCACTAACGATCAAATAGAAAGCATATTAAGACAATCAACCTGGCTATACCAAAGGTGAGCACTCTGAAGCAGCCGAAGGGTAGCAGGTAAGAGTATTTTGTTAGTTTGTGTAGGCAAAGCTACCTCAGAAGCTTAATAAAACATCACGATTCGAGTAGAGATAAAAGAGACAACAAACCTTTAATTCAACTGTTTAACAAGCTTAATGTGATAAGAGCAAAATCTGTTCAAAGACAAAGGATGATAGAGAGTAAAAGAAACCCCTCAAATTCAAGAAATTACACAGGCGTTTTCCAAGTCTGAGGGCTCAGTTGTGACAAGAGGATGGAGTAATAAGCACGCCTGGTACTTAATTTTCAACCAGAATATCAGCTGGAGGGGTTTTGGGGTTTTGGGGTTTTGGGGTTTTGGGG